AAATCCTGGCTCCTTTCTTTTACCAGTTCTGCCTATGTGAAGATAAGTCAAAGGTCCTACTCCACCATGGTTTGCTTCACTTGGAAGCATGGAGGAAATGATTCTACTGTGTTGACCCTCCTCTTTGTAGACTGGACACTGGTTCAAGTCCATCTGGTGGAGTCTCCTTGGCCTCCTTGGTCAAGAGGACAGGTGACCCATCATCATAGTCCCCTGGAACTAGCTGACCTAGGAGGGTCAAATTTATAGGCTTCAAAGTATGTCTGTTAAGCACACAAGAAGGTTAGTTCTACCAATCTCGTATTTTTAATTACTGTGTGTCATGTAGCTAAATCTTGGGCAAAGACCAGTTGTTCTCAGATAAACCTTACCTAGACATATACTTTTTGATCTGCTATGTATAATTTGTCAGTAGGGTGTAGGAGTAATATGGTTCCCTCTGGTTTTCAAAACTAGCTAGGCATTGTTTATCTCTCACATTGTCTCACCCCTCCATCATGGTTTTCCCACTTAAGGTGCCCCCATTAACCCCATTTCTGCCTTACTAATACCCTTCTCCTATGGTCCTACCTTTCTTGACCTCCTTCTTTCCCTTTATCCCCTAGGCTCCTTGTATACCCTTTCCTCCTCCCACCCTTAAATTAACCCAATTTTTATCCATATCTCCCTTATTTAGGACTGTTTCCTGCTGTTCTTCTCTTTCAGGTTATTTCTTTTCCTTTACCTTCCTGTTTCCTTTCCATTTCTCTGCTTCCTGTAGTTATGTCTTGTTGCATACTTATTTATCAGAATCTGGTTCTAGGATCCACATATGAGGGAGAACATATATCGGGTTGTTTTTTTTTTTTTTTTTCTGAGTCTGTGTTACTTCACTTAGTATAATTTATGTCCAAGTCTTCCTCTTCTAGGCTGGCCTCTTCTTGAGAATGTGGAATATCATCTCGGTCATCACAGTGCCCAAAACACTGATAAATGCTCTACCAATGTTTGCAGAATGTGCTTGCTTCATCCACATTTTCTTTTAGGTCCAAGAAATCAGGCCTTTCCCTGAAGCGCCAGTGACCAACTATGACCAGCAGAGGACAGCAGAGTCACAAAAGCGCTGGTCCTGAAGGCTCCAGTTAAAGCTGTACAGCCAAGTCAAAGCCAGAAATACCATGGTATAAAAAGTGCTGGTTTTCCTGAGTCGGCAAATGGAAGCTCCTCTGGGACATAGTTTAGTGAAAAGCATTCGTTTTTATGTTCAATTCAAATCATCTGCCCCTGCAGCTCTAACAGTTGCCATTGCGCACAAACTCGGTGCTCACGCAGCAGCATTGGTCCTTATCAGGAAGACACTGGAAGGAATTTGAAAAGAAGAATCTTTTGAGAGCTGTCTGTTCTGCTCTTTAGCCCATCTTTTAATTGGGTTGCTTCTTGTCTTGGTTCTCTGTTTTTTGAATTTGTTATATATTCTGGTTATTAAACCTCTATTGGAAATGTTGCTGGTGAAGATTTTCTCCCATTCTATGGGCTTTCTGTTTGCTTCCTTGGTTGTCTCCTTTGAGTACAGAAGCTTTTTAGTTTAATGAGGTCCCATTTGTTAATTCTTGCCCTTGTTTCCTGAGCAATTGATGTCCGATTTAGAAAATCCTTTCTTATGCCTATATCTTGTAGCTTTTTTCCCAATGTTTTCTTCTAATAGTTTCAGAGTTTCAGGTTTTACATTGAGGTCTTTGATCCACTTGGAATTGACTTTTGTTCAGGGTGAAAAATAGGGGTTTAGTATCATTCTTCTACAAGTGGAAATCCAGTTTTGCCAGCACCATTTGCCAAACATGCAATAGGGGTTTAGTATCGTTCTTCTACAAGTGGAAATCCAGTTTTGCCAGCACCATTTGCCAAACATGCTGTCTTTCCTCCAGTTAATGTTCTTGGCCCCTTTGTCAAATATCAGGTGGCTGAAATTTCACTTACTCATGTGAATATATTTTTTAAAAAACCTTTAGTGAAAATGATAGCTCCAAATGA